CATGCTGCACCCCCCCTCCTCCCCCGCCTGCACAGCTCCCACCAGATCCATTTGGCTGCCCCAACTCCCACCAGATCCATTCGGCTATTACCAACTCTCGTGATTTTAGTGCAAGACTCACAACGTAGGGTGGTTTGTTTAAAGCCCCAGCTCCTGGATTCCTGGGATGATGGGAGAATCTCAGCTTTCCTTAGAAAAAGAAACAATTTGAAAAGGTGACCCAAGTGCACCCTCAGGTTTCAAAAAATGGAAGATAAAAATGAAGAACCCAAAAGGCATCTTTAAATAAACAAAAACTCTTGAGATTTTAAAGCCAGTCTTATGGTTGCTGAGGACCTACACATGATTTTTGAATGCTGGGGAGGGGGGATAATATCAGTGCTACCATATAGTAATAATAAGTGATGTAGACACACAGCTGAAGCCTCAGTGGGTATGTCTAGACCCGTGGTTCTCAACCTATTTACCATTGTGGACCGCGTATGCAGCTCTCTCTGTGTTATGTGGGCCACATCCACACAATACATACACTACCTGTATGGCCCTGAGGATGTCACATGGGCCACAGCTGTGTGCTGATTGGTCCACAAGCTGCCTGTGGGCCATGGGTTGAGACCCACTGGTCTCCACTGCAATGAAAAACCTGTGGCTGGCCTGTGCCAGCTGACTTGGGCTCGCAGGGCTCAGGCTAAGGGTCTGTGTAACTGCAGTGGAGGCGTTCAGGCTTGGGCTGGAGCCGGAGCCAGGGTTCTAGGACCCTGCAAGGTGGGAGGGTCCCAGAGCTCAGGCTGCAGCTTGAGTCCACATGTCTATACGGCAATGACACAGCCCCGTAGCCGCGCTCCTTAGCCCGAGTCAGCTAGCACAGGCCAGCCGCAGCAGGGCCGGCCGTCAGGAGAATGGCGCCCTGGGAAAACTTGTATTTTGGCGCCCTTTGAGTTGGAGAATGTAGTAGTGTTAGTGGAAATTTCAGAAATAAAGCTGCAATCTCAAAAGTTTTTATAATTTACTAAGAAAAATACAAAAGAAGAAATGACACAAAAATTGATTCAATTGCATTCAATTCTATTCAAATAATGAACTATGTAAGTCATAAAAATAACACTATAGCTAAATGAGAAATAAACTAAATATTAAATTAAACACTAAAGTAATGAATAACCACAAATAAAAAATGTTGTTCACCAAGAGTCTAAGATTCAGAAGGCAAAACCCTGCGTGCCTTCACCGCTGGAAACTCTGATATTGCTTGGGACAGGTCTATATTTTGAGCCACAGCATTTTCCATAGACAGGTGGCCAGTGAAGATAGCCTGTCATCTCCCATGGTCGATCGCAAATATGTTTTTATGAGCTTCAACTTCGAGAAGCTCCGTTCACTGCTCGCCACTGATACGGGCATGGTTAACAGGATCAGAGTGGGGGGTCAGAGTGGATAACAAGCTAAATATGAGTCAACAGTGTAAAGCTGTTGAAAAATAACCAAACATCATTCTGGGA